TATGGGCTTTCATGGTCATTGGATCCCCTGTGGTTGGTGCCAGAATTCTGCTACTCTGTGTTTCCGGTGTGATGGGCTTGGGCCCATTACTGCACCAGTGGTAGCAGAGCTGTCTCTGAGCACCTGTCAGGGGATCCCTTGCTTAGTACGGTGGAGTGGGGAAGGGAAGGGAGAAAAGAGAGGCCGGTGACATAGTTTGAAAGCTGAGCCACGCTGGATCACCTTAGTGTGACAGTCTGAGTAAGTTAGGTGCTTTTTGTCCAAGTCTTGACCCCTTAACAAAGGAAGGAGATGGCAGGTTTAGCCTAAGCAGGAATTCTTGACGCAAATGCATTTTGTTGAATAGAATTTATCTTTTTTTTATAACCCTTGGAGTTTGTCTTCATTTGGCTCAGAAGAGATAAATTTTTGAAAAGCTGTGTGTAAATCAAAATGTTGGTGGAATTGTTTTTCCGTAAGTAACATCTAATTTCCCCCTCTATCTTGTTTGCTTTAAGATATCTCTGTTTGCTATTCCCTGTTTTATTTAGAAACATTTATTTATAAAGAATTAATAACTTCTCACACTGAAAGAAAACCTGGTAGTTAATTGCTTTATCTGATACTAGATTATAATCAAAGTGAAAATCAGTTTTAATATAATAACCTAATAAGGTAGATATTTTTGATGCCTCATTTCAGAAGATTGATTTTATTTGTTTTATATAATATATTAATTCTTAAGGTACTCTGGTAAAACTTCAGTAGTTAAATAAATTAGAATGAGGAGATGATAAAGGGTGATCTATGAATATATAGAGTTTCAAATATTTTGAGAATTAGAGGATTAAGTCTTTTAGTGAAAAATTGCACAGAGACGTCATAAAAACATTCAGGAAGTCCCAATATATTACCAATGAAATTATAAAATATAAGTTAGTTATATTTGCATGTTGAAAACCTTAAGAATATTCTCCTTAAATTATAAACTTCTTAACCAAGAAGAAAAACAAAGAGTTACTCATGAAAAGTTAGAAATTAAAATAAACAAAAGATCTAAAAAAAAAGAAGAAAATATTTTGCAGGAGTTTGCTAAACACAATTAAATAATTATTCTTTCTTTTTACATTTTATCTCTTCTGTGCCTTACATTCAAAAGGCTTTCAAAATCGCTATCATTTGACACCTGGGTTCCTTTGCATTATTGTGATCTGGGTTTTCCTTAATTTCATTGTCAAAAGAGATAAAAGATTCCACAAAGCACCCAGGTAAAAAAACAAAACTGGGCATAAATAAATAGCCAAGAGAATAGCTTGAGTCCTTTTACTCCTAGTTATGTCCTCAAGTCCATACATTGTCAAAATGGTTATATTATTAGTAGTACTGGAAACCTAGGGTGCCAGTGGAGGAGCTGTGGGGAAGAAAAGCTGAAAAGAGAGTAGAATGTAGATCATAACATGATCCCTAACACAAATCTCAAGGGGGGAAAAAAAAAAATATATATATATATATATGCCTAAGCAACCATTACAACAGAACAATTGGAATGACTGGTCGCTATGACAAACACGTACCGACTACCAGGGGGCAGACGCTTAATGCAGGAGTTGTCCCCTAGTGGTCAGTGTGCTCCCACAGGGGGAGTGCTGCTCAGCCAGAAGCCAGGCTCACAGCTGGTGAGGGCATCTGTGGTGGTGGGAACTTTTCCCAACTCAGTGGCAGGAGGCACAATGGGCGGGGATGAGCATGAGCAGCACAGCACCTGGCCCAGTTTGGGCTTCTCCCTGGCTACCTGGTACTTAATGCACTGCTGCATCCCTTGGGGATGTCCGACTGCTGGTTTAGGCTTGATTCTCACAGGCCAGGCTGGGATCAGGCCTAAACCGGCAGTTGAACATCCCCCCAAGGGGTCTTGGATTATGAGAGGGTGCAGACCAGGCTGAGGGACACCCCCACCCCCAGTGCATTAATTTTGTACACTGGGACACTAGTTAAAATAAAAACAAACAAACAAAAAACAACAACACAGAGTATATTCTCCAATTACAATAGAATCAAACTAGAACATAGCAAAAGACAACAGGAAAATCTTTCAACTAAACCATATATTTCTAAATAACCCATGGGTCAAAGAGGAAGCCTCGAGGGAGATCAAAATATACACGAAACTGAGAGAAAGTGGGAAAGAGAGAGACAGGGTGGAGATCATTTTCTTTCCTCTGAGAACAGGGAGTTTTCTTTAACCAGAACATCTGAGCCGCTCTCATAAATACCTTGCCCTCCTCCTGGCTCATGGGATTTATGCCAGTGACCAGCCCCTTTAAAACATGAAAATCTCAGCTTCTCTAAGTCCCCCTCTCCCTGTCCCTGCTACCCTGACAACTGTGCTTTGTATTTCAGTAATTGGGATCCACCAGTAGATTTGTACAGTTCAAATTATTAGACAAAGGTACACATTTTATCCTGCATTTTGATTATTTTATAAGGTAAAATGCTATTCTTTCTGTAGCACTTCTGTGACAGGAAACAGGAGAGCCTTATGTGAAGCTTAGGCCAGAGGGAGAGGAGAGAGGTGGGTGGGAGAAAGCAGGAGATGATGCAGCTGCCTGAGCTATTTCTCTCACTCTGGGCATTGAATTTCATCCCGTTCAGAAGTACCCTTCACCCTTCTCTCCAGGGACAACCTCCCCTTCCCAAACCACAGGAGTTCCTCAAAGGGCCGCTGTGGTCATTGCCCTGAGAAGGAAGGTGGTGGGACCAGATTGCAACATTTTTTAAAAAAAAAAAAAAAAAAGCTTTCATTTGTTTATGCCTTTAAAAAAATTTTTTTTAACTTTTATTGATTTCAGAGAGGAAGGGAGAGGAGGAGAGAGAGAGAGGCATCAATGATGAGAGGCCCTTTCTCCCCTGAAAGCTGGGGGCTCCTACAGTCACAGTGGCTGGCTGGTGTGGCTTCAGGTCTAGCAGATAACAGCCAACGCGAGGTGGAGCTTGCTGCTGCCAGTTATAAACGTTTTGTGTATGCCAGATGATTCGATCCTCAGAGCATCCCTGTGAGGTAGGTGCTTCTGTTACGGAGCAGGAAACAGGCACTGAGAGGGGGAGGAGCTCGTTAAGACTTCTCACACTTCCATTGGCCGTGCTATTAGCCAGGAATTGTCTGACTTCCTGTAAAGGGCCACATTGTTTAGGTTTTTCCACTCATGCAGTCTCTGCCAGAACTGTTTAACTTTGCCGTGGGGGCATGAAAGTATTCATGGACAACAGTCAAGGGCATGGAACACGGTTGTGTTCCAATAAAACTTTATAGATAAAAGCAGAAAATGGGTTGGATTTGGCCCATGCGTCTGAGTTTGCAGGCCCAAGTGCTTAACCTCTCAAGTACATAAAACCTTTCTTATTTCCTCAGACCTGTCTCACCTCCCGTGACATTCCACTTACACAACTCGCATTGCATAAAGCTTACAGATCTCATTACAGTGCTGTTTGAAGTGTGCTTTGGTCAATGTTTCCATTTCAGAGAAGAGCAACGTGAGGCTTCGGAGACAAAAACCACTTGCTCAGAGTCTCTCGTTACACAGTTCTTTGTCATGTTCTGAACTTGAAATCTAACACAATGAACACTAGTACCCTGATCACGCCTTCTGGATCTTCTGGAATCTTCTAGTCTGATCTTCCAGACTCTTCTTATACCATGGCAGGTGCCTGGGAGCTGTGTGGATGGACACAGCCCAAGTGTTTTTTGTGTGTTTTTAAAAATATATATTTTATTGATTTTTTTTACAGAGAGGAGGAGAGGATAGAGAGCTAGAAACGTTGATGAGAGAGAACATTGACCAGCTGCCTCTTGTACACCCCCAACCGGGGATGTGCCTGCAACCAACATACATGCCCTTGACCGGAATCGAACCTGGGACCCTTCAGTCTGCAGACCAACACTCTACCACTGAGCCAAACCGGTTTCGGCCACAGCCCAAGTTTGACTCCTGTTTAATAATTCTCACGCTAAGAACTAGCTGGGACTGTCTGGTGGAGCATCTGTGGACCACAGCGGGGCCTGAGGAATGTGGCTTACATTTGTTAAGTGTTCTGTGCTGTGCTAAGTATTTTTTCATATTATCGTATTTAATTCTCAGAACTACTTCTGAGGTAGACACGTCTTGTTATCCCTGTTACACGGACAAGGAAACAGAAACACAGAAAGCCAAATACCTTATGCCGTAATGATGGAGTGTCTTTGTATAGTTAGAGGTTCAGCACTGGGAATAGCGCCAGTTCTGAGCAAAAAGATAGAAGCTTCCAGCCAAAGCAACCTCTTCCTTACTCCTCCCCGTTTGAGGCACATGAATATGGGAGTAGAGAAAAAAAAAAAAAAGAGACCTCCACAGGGGCGAACCTGGCTCTCAGAATCCTCCTGCGCCCGGGCTCTCCAGTCCTCCCTCCGCTGATGACTTTGCATTAGCCTTACCATGCTTAATGCGATAACTGCATGGTGATATGAGGTATGACCTCACTATCCTGCCACAAGAGCTTTTTCACATTAATTGTGTCAACACAATAACGCTACTTCATCCTCCAAAATTCTCAGTAAGAAGGGGTCATAACTCTTATCACCAAGTGCCAGAGAAGCCGCCATTGGGTGGAACTCAGAGGGCTGAATCACAGCTCCTTTTGGTCCAGGGAGCAAAGGTTCGGGAGACACAGCTGCTGCTTGATTTTTTACAGAGAGGAAGAGAGAGGGATAGAGAGATTGAAACATCAATGAGAGAATCATCGATCAACTGCCTCTTGCACACCCCCTACTGGGGATGTGCCCGCAACCAAGGTACATGCCCTTGACCGGAATCGAACCTGGGACCTTTCAGTCCACAGGCCAATGCTCTATCCACTAAGCCAAACCGGTTTCGGCCCTGGCCTAGCTCTTGAGCGCCAGAACAACCTTCCCGTCTACAGGCTCCACAATGATGGACAGCCGTGCCTTCTAGCCTAAAATATAACGGTATTCTTTGTGTTTCTGTAAGGATGTGAAAAAGATAGACTGGTTCCAGGAATGGCCGGATTCCTATGAGAAGTACATCTACAGCTCGGAGGACAGGAGCGCGCAGAGGCACCTGAGCAGCTGGGCCATGCGCAACACCAACAACCACAACTCGCGCATCCTCAAGAAGTCCTGCCTGGGCGTGGTGGTGTGCAGCCGCGACTGCTCCGCCAAGGAGGGCCGCAAGCTCTACCTGAGGCCCGCCATCTGCGACAAAGCCCGGCAGAAGCAGCAGAGTGAGTGGGAGTCGCTGGCTGGCGCTGGAGAGGAAGCTGGTGTCCATTCAAACGCTCCTGCTCAGCTCCGGCATATTGCAAGGACTCAGCCTTCACACCGGAGGAGACGAAGGCTGTCCCTATGCAGAACATAATAAGGAGAACCCACCCACCCCCCTCTCTCCCCACGGGGGACTGCCCCTAGGGTCTGCCAGGACCAGAGCATCCACCATTAACACTGCTCTGTTGAGTTAAGGCACCTAACTCAAGGCCTCTGTTAAAAGGCAGATGCCAATTATACCTCAATGAAGCTGAAATTAAAAAAAAAAAAAAAAAAGTAATGTTTTTTAAAAATGTCTAATATGTACTGATGTTTTGTGTAAAAAAAAAAAAAAAGGTGATGCCTCACGTATGGGACTAGCATTAATTCATCAGTGAGCCCATGTAAAGTTTAGGAAAAGGTTGTGGATTAGATTTGCCTCCTGATCTCTATATGAGCTCAAAGAGTGCTTTGATCTGGAGTGGGAGCACTGGGCTAAATCTGAGATTGGACTCAATTCCATGACGTTTGGGTTCATGCCATAATCACATGTGGAAAAATGTGCTTCTTTTGCTTTTTATCATATTCATGGGATTGTGAAATACATTCAGCATTCCCTGTGCCTGGTCCATTTCAGACCTCAAATAACCTCCTGCTGTTTCCTTGTGACTTGTCTTCAAGACTTGCTCTCAAGGCAAGCTCTAATATCAGCCATTCACACTTGAGTAAAATTTAGCAGCTGCGTTCTCTCTCCCGTGTGGCTTTGCTCCTTGACCCTTAGTTCTAATCGTGACATAAAGGAATTTTTTCTTCTTTTCTACAAAGAATTTTAACTTACCAATAAATACTTAGGGAGGAATATTCTGCTCTGGAGAGCCCTCCCCTAACCTGTGAAATATCCTATTCTATAGGCCGCTTCCTCTAGCCACATGTGAGATTGATCTGGGCCGAGTGGTGGCCAGGCTTCCTGGGGCCAGGGGTTAAGCGCAGTGGATGGAAGAGCATAAAACTGGCCCAGGCGTATTCTCTGCCACCCCAGCTTCCCGGCTAACACCACCAGGGCTGCCTGGGCGCCGGGGTCAGCGGGCATGGCTCGGTGGCACGTGCTCACCTTCTGCTGTTCTTTTGCAGGGAAATGCTGTCCCAATTGCGACGGGCCCCTGAAGCTCATTCCTTGTCGAGGCCACGGGGGCTTCCCGGTCACCAACTTCTGGAGGCACGAAGGACGCTTCATATTTTTCCAGGTTGGACTTGGGTGATAGTGATAAGATGCCATTTCTCTTTAATTCAATAACTGTTTACAGAGCGTGCGGAGGGGGTTCACACAGGAGATGTGCAGGTGAATGAGAGCCGACACCAACCCTGAGGCACACTCTGGGCGAGCAAGCGCCTGCACCCACCAGCGGTGCCTGGCTGCCTCTGCCTTGGGCTCCGAAGGGGTTAGAAATGTGATCGCACTCGGCTCAGAAGCCCTGACTTGTGCACAACCTCCAACTCCAGAATGAAGACCAGCTCTGGCTTCTGAGTTGCTCTGTAAACCCAAACACGGTCCTCCCTAAGCCCCCGTGCTCTGTAAAACCTGGATATTGGGAAGTGAAAGCAGGAGCGGTGGTATGCACACTGGAGAGGAGTGGCCTCTGACTGTGTCTGCCAGGGTTCTCAGCAGTGGTGTGCTGGTAACCCTGACCCCGCCCACTCCCCACCAAAGGAAAGTGTTCTGATTTGCAGGGTTTGCCCATTCCTGTGCTATAAATCTTCCCGTCCTGGCTGATTTATTTATTTATTTATTTATTTTTAATATATTTTATTGATTTTTTTTTTTGCTCCCCTCCCTTCCCCCGATATATACCCTCCCTCCCCAGAGTTTTATGTCCATTGGTTGTACTTATATGCATGTATACAAGTCCTTCGGTTGATCTATTATCTCCCCCAGATCTCCCTCCCCTCCCCACTGTAAATTGACAGTCTGCTTGTTGCTTTACTGTCTCTATATCTTTTGGTTCATCAGTTTATAATGTTCTTTATTATCCATAAATGAGTGAGGTCATGTGGTGTTTCTCTTTCATTGATTGGCTTATTTTACTCAGCATGATGCTCTCCAATTCCATCCAGGTTGCTGCAAATGATGAGAAGTCCTTTTTTATCTGTCCTGGCTGATTTAAAGCTATCGGCTGTTTCTAACAACCAGCTCATAGAATTCCCGAATCTTTAACCGTTAGCTCCCAGCTCACCCACCTACCAGGCACATGACCCGGGCATCACAATCTCTCCATGCCTCAACTTCCCATTCCGCTCCCTGGGAATGATAATGATAGCATGTGCCTCACAGGGTTGTGCTGGAGGTTAAATGTGATCGTGTGCCATAGGCAGCACTTCCTGTCCCGATGAGTAGGACTTTGCCATGTGGGTGAGAGACACCTTGGAAAGCGGGAGCATCGTAAACAAAAACAGGCAGGCAAGGCAGTGCACAGTGGACTTGGGAGGGACTTAAAGGGTGTAACAGTGCCCAATCTTGTTACAATGCTCAACACACAGTCATGTGACAGGGTAACATTTTACGCACCAGGAAGCACCATCTGGTCATTTATTTTGCATCCTTGTCTCCTTTTAAGTCAAAGGGAGAACACGATCATCCAAAGCCAGAAACCAAATTGGAAGCCGAGGCAAGAAGAACAATAAAGAAAGCACATGTGGCATCTTCCTCCATCTCCTTAAAGCTGAACAGGGGCCCGGAGGCAAAGGTAACCCTTCCCTGTGTGTGTTCAGAACCATAGGGCAACTCACCACCCCAATGGTGGAGCAGTAGATTTCTCCAGCTTCTTACTTACAAGCGAAAGCAGAAGCCACAGCCTGCCAGGCTCACCTGTAAGCCAGCATCTGCCACATAAACTGAGCCTGAGGGATTCCTCTTAATTTCTACCATCTTTGTCGCATGTTCTCAACATAAATTCTATATAATGTTAGGGCCATCTTCCCTATCACAATGAAAAAGAGACTGGAATTAGTGCTTAGCTTATATTTTGGCACTCTGTAATTTGGTTCTCAGAGAACCAGAATTAACTGAAATGATCTCCACAAATATTAGCATCATGCTTTCCACCCACATTGCCATTCTTCCCCAAAACAGATTACAGTTAACCCTCCAACAATGTAAGGGTTAGGGGCACTGACACCCCCCCCCCCAGTAGTAATAAATCTGTATATAATTTTGACTCCCCCCAAACTGAAGTTGTACCTCAGGATCCACAGGGATTGGTTCCAGGACACCCAATGGATACCAAAAACCACGGGTGCTCAAATCCCCTACAGAGAATGGTGGTGGTCAATGCAGACAGACAGCCCTCCGCATCCACAGACTCCCAACTTTGGATCCAAATAGTATAGGTATTTATTGAGAAAGATCTGCATAAAAGTGGACCAGTGTAGTTCAAACTCATGTTGTTCAAGGGTCAACTGTGTTCCCTTAGCACATTTGAGCCAGATGAAATAACCAGGCAGTTTCTGCAACAATGGTCATCAGGTGGGCCTGGCGGGAGGTGATGTGAAGTCCATGCCTTTATGGGGGTTATGTCTGCTTAATAGTATAGTAAGTCCTATACTTCTTTTTTCTTTCTTTCTTTTTCTTCTTTTTTTACTGTTCAATGCTCCACATTTCTTAAGTGTTGTTTCTTGTTAATCCTCACCAGAGGATATTTTTTCCATTGATTTTTAGAGAGAGTGGAGGGGTGGTAGGGAGGGGAGAGAAAGAGAGAGAGAGAAACAGTGATGTGTCATAGATTGGTTGCCTTCCACACATATCCCAACCAGGGCTGGGGATTGAAACCCCCAACCCAGGTACATGCCCTTGACTGGGAATTGAACCCACTTCCCTTTGGTGTACGTGCCACTGCTCCAACCACTAAGCAACACTGGCCATAGATGCTTCAAGTTTTTTTCAGAACAGAAGTGGAGTCAGTCTGAAGTATAAATGTACTTTTTTTTTTTTAATATATTTTATTGATTTTGTACAGAGAGGAAGGGAGAGAGATAGAGAGTTAGAAATATCGATGAGAGAGAGTCATCGATCAGCTGCCTCTTGCACACCCCCTACTGGGGATATGCCCGCAACCAAGGTACATGCCCTTGACCGGAATCGAATCCGGGACCCTTCAGTCCGCAGGCCGACACTCTATCCACTGAGCCAAACCGGTCTCGGCTATAAATATACTTTAATATTAAACACACACACACACACACACACACACACACACACACACACCTTGTGTCTTTTGTCAGGAATTGTAAGCTCCTAGTCCAAATAATTGGCCCTCATCCCTTCTCCCAGCCATGGGACAAGTTGAAGGGCATTTCTTCCCACTCACTCTTAACTGGTGGCAGTCTCTCCATCCCATTCTCTAATTAGTCAATTGTTTTGCATAGGCAAGAGGATTATTTAGTCCTCAACCAGATTATTTTCCTAGGATTCACTGGAGAAAAATATACTTTCTCTTTACAAAAATAAATTTACAGCACGGCCGGTGTGGCTCAGTGGTTGAGGTTGACCTATGAACCAGGAGGTCACGGTTTGATTACTGGTCAGGGTACATGCCTGGGTTGTGGGCTTAATTCCCAGCATGGGGCGTGCAGGAGGCAGCAAGTCAATGCTTCTTTCTCATTATTGATGTTTCTATCTCTCCCTCTTCCTTCCTCTCCAAAATCAATAAAAATACATTAAATAATAATAGTAAACTTACCGCTTCATAGTCTAGAAGTCCTATTTATGATTCAACAAAATAAGTTCAGAGAAAAATCTCTTGAGGAAAAAAATACAAAAACCCTAGTCTCTTGGACATCACACAGCACTGAAAAATAGAAAGTCAAGGAGGAAAGCGAGAGAGAGAGAGAGAGAGAGAGAGAGAGAGAGAGAGAGAGAGAGAGAGACCCCTGAGAGGTGTACTGAGTATAATACAAATCTGTATTTTGATGCTGTAATTTGACTTTTCTCAAGGAGCCCCTTATAAGTTTGTCGCAAAGGCATTTAGGATATCAGATTGGCATCTGAGGGGAAATGTCTAAACGCTCATGTCAGAGTGAAGGGAAATTTGGCGCTTGTTGCTTAGTAAGATCTGAAGTGGCGATGCAGTCAGCGTCTCCTCTTTCAGATCTTGAGAGGCTGCAGTGAAGTCGCTCCGTGTGTCTGTGCTCCGGAGCATGCCAGGAATGAGGAAACGCGGACAGCGCACCTATTTGTGCAGAGTAACTCATGGGTGCCCGGGTAGCTGTGTCCATCTGCTTCACTTACTTACACAAGCTTCTCGCTTTCCAGTCTGTTCCAGGTGAAGCACCAAGTTGGGGGAATTTAAACTGGTCTTTCCAGGAAAGCCTCCACCTGCCTGGCGGTGATGGTGGGCCTTTGGCGGCTGGCATCCCCCAGCAGAAGTCACCGGGCGAGTGCTTTCTTAAGAGCTACGGTTTGGGGGGAGCCTCGGACCTGGCAGACCCCACTTCTACCGTGGGCCCCGCTGAGCTCTATGAGAAATGCAAGGTGTCCAGCGCTCGGATCTATGGTGGCGGGGACCTGCTTCAGCCTCCTGTCGCTGGGGTCCTCTCTGATTACAGTGATCTGCAAACTTGGAATAAAAATGCTGCTTTGGGGAGAAACCCTCTTAATGACAACGGGTGTCCCAGCTACGCCTTTCCTCAGGCCGGCTGGCCGTATGACTTCTCCCCTCCCCCGAACGCTTTAGATCCCCTTTCCCAGCAGATCCCAGTGGAACCACCTTCAGCCAAAGCCGGCTGTCTCCCGTTATGGCCAACTCCTGGGGCGGATCTTTACGAAGAGAAGGTGCACATGGATTTTAACAGCTACTACCCTCCCGCCACATGCCATTCACCTCAGGAAGACCCCTTTCTCTTTGCCTATACCTCTTACCCTCACCATCAGTATTCACTGCCAGGCAAGAGTGGCAAATGGAATTTTGATGAAGAAATGAGGTACATGAGTTTGGATCACTACAACAATGAAATGCTTCTCAACCTCTGTCCCTTAAGATGAGCCCCGTCTCAACCCTTGTGCTCGGTTCGTAGGTATGTAACCTGGTGCAGTCACTATGGAGAAACAGTGTGAAGGTTCCTAATAAAATGAAAGCGACCACGTGGTCCAGCAATACACGTCTGGATATTCGCACATCCCAGGAAACAGAATCACTGTCTGAGAAGCGACATCAGGCACCCCACGTTCATCACACCATTCTTTACAACAGGCAACATGTGGAAACTACCTAACGTCCACTGATGGATGAGTGGATAAAGAAGTTGTGGTATACACATAAACAATGGAACACTACTTAGCCATAAAATAGAAGGGAATCCTGCCATTTGCTACAGTATAGATGGACTGTAAGGGCATGATGCTACATGAAATAAGTCAAACAAGAGAAAAACTAATACTATATAATTTCACTACATGTGGAAACAAAAAAAAGAAAAACCAAATTCTAGAAACAGAGGCCAGATTTGTGGTTTCCAGAGGCAGAAGGTAGGGGGAGGAGTTGGATAATGGGGTAAATGTAAATTTATCTTCTGGATAAAAAAAAAGTCTATAATCAGATCATGTTTTAAAAATCTTGTTTTCCAGTTATTATATTATGCCCTATCTAATCCATGGCCACAAAGATTTTACCCTATGTTTTCTTCTAGCAGCTTTGTATTTTCAGCTTTTACATTTAGGTAAGCGTTCCATGTCTAGTTGATTTTTGTGTATGGTATAAGGTAACCAGGGTTGAATTTCATTTTAGTTTTGCACGTGGAAATGAAATTGTCTCAGCACCATTTGTTGAAGCACAAGTTTTTATCACAATCTCTGGTTAAATGACTACCCAGGATTGTTCTTTTTATGACTGCTCACAGGTAGGCTATTTGGTATACTATAATTCCATTTTCTTTTTTAGACAACAGTTTCTTTCTCCTGAAGTTGATAATTATCTCATCTCATTGTTTAATTTCCTTTATAACTAACAATAGTTTATCCTCAAATACTATCCAACCATAAAAATACTTTTCTTTATAGTAATTCATATTTTCCTTAAAGAAAGTCCTTCTGGAACTTTCCATTTCTCCTCAAATGTGGACAGATTGTTCTCTAATCCTGCTGCTCTGCAGTCATGCTGTTTCTCTTCACCATCATCGCTGGACCTTCTTTCCTCTCTTTTCTCTGGCATTCCATATCTTTTTTCCTTCTTGGTACATTCCCTAGTTATTTGAAAAAAAAAAAATATATATATATATGTTTTTATTGATTTTTAGAGAGAGAAGAAGGGAGAGGGAGAAAAACACTGATGAGAGAGGGAAAAAAACATTGATCAGCTGCCACCTGCAGATTCAGGAATTGAACCAGCAACCTTATGCTCAACCATATGAACCACATTGGGCAGGGCTACATTCCCTAGTTTGGTAAAGCACATGCCACACTTGTTCCCTAAGGAAAGATGGATGGAAGATTCAATTTTGGGATCCATGCATACTTGAAAATGTCTTAATTCTATTCTCATAGTTAAATGATAGTTTAGCTGAGAATAGAAGACTAAATTGAAAATAATTTTCATTCAGAAATTTGAAGTTACTGCTCCATTGTCTTCTAGCCTCCAGCATTACTAGAGAGAAGCTGAAGGCCATTTTGATTTCTGGTCCTATGAGCATGACCTACTCTTTCTTTTTTGGAGATTTTAGGATATTCTTTATTATATTTGGTTAACTGAAATTTCATGATAATGAGTGTTGGTCTTTTTATTTTATATTTGTTGCACAAGTATAAACCTATACTTCTTGACACTTTTAACATGGTCATTCAGATCGTTCAGTTCTGAGATATGCTTTTGTATTTTTTTTTTTTAAATAATTGCGACCGTGAACATGGCCAGGGCTCTGGAGCCTCAGGAGGGGGGCGTGTATTGTGGGGTCACTGGGCACTGGCCCCAACCTACTCTCCATGCGTAAGTTCACAGAGAAACATAAATGGGTATGTTTTGGAAATGGTATTGGAACAGTGAATGGGATCATCAATTTTGCACAGTAAGTTTTGGAAGATGTTTCCTGAAATTGGGACAAAATTGAACAAATAAGGTGAGTTTGGTACTTTAGGAAATATGAAAGCTGATGAAACAACTTGATGTAGCATAGTTGTCTTAAATTAGTGGTGGACAAAAGATTTAAAAGAGCAACTTTTAGTCATACTAATAAAAAGAGAAAATTACTTACAACAATGCTACAAATGATTGCAGATGAACAATATGCATCTTTTTACAACACCCTCTAGTTTTTAGGCTAGGGTACCATTATTCAGAATTCCTGAAATTATCTGTGGTAACAAGTACTAATAAAAGTTATGTAATTCAAATTTAACATTGTCATAAAACTTATATAATGGAACTCGCTTACATCCATCTCTAGATTTGGCTCAAAATATTAATACTCAATGATCTTTCCATTGGAAATAACTGGATGTGAAGATAAGTGTTTATTAGTTGTACAGTGTTGGCTAATGAACAGTACTACCTTAATTTTGCAATATGCTGCTTTTGCTGGTGCTATTTTTATTCAGTGGAGCAATTGTCTTGCAGGAAAATAAGGAACAGTCTAATAATAAAACATTCAACTTCATTAAAAAAATGATAATTGCCTTTTCTTTCTTTTTCTGGTTCTTTTTGGGAATTCTTCTAGTTTGGTATTATACTCAACCAGTTTCCCTTGAGCACCTACTAATACACTCACCTTGACCACTGCTCAAGTATCAACTATGCTTACTGAGCAGCCACTGAGTCTAAGAACCACATTTGGGCAAAGACAGAGTTACAAGGCACAATACCCAACTGAAGGGATCCAGATCTGTTTAGTTCAAGATAAAATACAAATATAAAAAGCAACTAAAGCCCAGCCAGTGTTGCTCAGTGGTTGAGCTTTGACCCATGAACCAGGAGGTCAGGGTTCAACTGGTTGGGGCACATGCCCAGGTCACTGGCTCAATTCCCAGTGGGGGTGTGTGGGAGGGAGCCAATTAATTCTCATCATTGATGTTTCTATGTCTCCCCCTCCTTTCCTCTCTGAAATCAATAAAAAGACAAAAATAAATAGAAGGCAACTAAAATGGGACCATGGTTATTATTAATTACTATAGTATGGAAGTTTATTATTTCTGATACTTTCATGATCCATAGGAGTCACCCATATGTATCCTATTTAGCACTTGGCTCAATGCAAGGTCCTGGAAATGCTGTGTGTGTAACACAGAAAGGGTCCAATGTAAAGGCATATCAAAGGGTAATCAAAATCAACAGTGGCAACGATCATTCTGACTTGGATGAACATGTAGTAAGAATAATGTGTCCAAAGTAGAAACAGAATTAGTTCTACTGCCTTTGTTTTGTATAAAAACATTGGAGTCATTTGTCATTTAGTTCAAGGTGGCAGACCATGCTGACACTTGTCACCTCTTCTGAGAGCTTATTAAGTAAGAAATAAGGTACAGGAATGTAGTTAACTCATGAGCCAAGAGAACATAAGGGGGTAAGTGCACTAGAGATGGCAGCACATTTCTGGGCAACGGGATGTGGGTGGAGCGCATATTGACCTATGCTGAGGCTCAGAGGTGAGGTGGAGGAGTCAGAACTCGGGAGAGGCTGTGTGCTTGATGTTACTGAGCTGAAGGGAAGGAATGAGGCCACAGACACTGAAAACAGTGCCAACCCTGGAAGGTCCTTCCACAGATCATCTGCTCCCAGCCGGCCCTCTCAGCAGGCATCCACCCAAATACGGACCCTAGGGAATAAAAAACAAACAAACAAACAAACAAAAAGAAACATAAAGCCAAGAATTATCTCAGAAGACATGGAGTTAACTATTCTAGGAGGAGTGACTTCTACTAGGGTGATTGGTAAATAAAAAATAAAGCCCTCCTCATGCTTGCTTCAGGGGACCAAGCTACCAAGCTCAAAAGCAAAGACTGGTTGGCATCTGATCTTGATGCTAGAAATGCAAACCCACAGATGAGGAAAAATAAACAGGATGTAACAGCCATGAAGGTGTAATAAGAGTAGAAAGTTGAACTGGACCTGGACACCAGGGTGTGGTTGGAAGGTGGACAATAGTGCTGTGTGTATGTGTGTCCCAGTACCTTTTTATTTTTATTTTTTAATATTAGTGAAATTTTGTGCTTAAAGTGGAAACCGAAGAGGCATTTAGTGCAAGCACTTGTGTTCAGGGCTAGCTCAGAATAAACTTGTGAATCACAGAAGTTTGTCTTTGATTTCTTTCACATCCTATTTCAAGGTCCCCTTCTCATTTAGGAAGTTCACCCTTACTCAAGATAAAAGAAATGCAAGGTAAAATCACACAAAGGCACATTGGCAGCTACCAGATTAGCAACCATCCAAAATTCTGACCCATAAGCCAGGCAGGCACTCTGACACCATGATGGGAACATGCATTGGGATACTCGTAAGGCAGGAAATGTGGCAATATCTAAGAAAATTCAAAATGAATCTACTTTTTTTCCCCCCTTAACAATTCCACTTATGAAGCTTATTCTACAAATATACAGGTATATGTGTGAAATGATGATTATAAAGTGTATTTGTGGTAGCACTCTGAATAGCAAAAGATGAAAAACAACCCAATATCCATAGTGATTGGCTATGCTCACTTCAGCAGCACATATACTAAAATTGGAACCATAGTGATTGGCTAAGTAAATTATGATATATCCATTTGATGAAATAGTATGCAACTTGGGAAAGAAATAGCACTCTCTTGCTGCACCTTTATAGAAACATCTTCACAGCATATTATTTTAAGGAAAATACATAGTGTGTGTGTGAAAGAGAAATGGAGACTTTTGGTGGAGAATTGGATAGATGAGGTACCTTTATACCTCTTGTTTCTGGTTGTTTTGTTTTAAACATGTGAATGTATTTCCCTCAAAATTCTGGATTTTTAAATTTCTTTATTTTTATTTTTTAAAAATATATCTTATTAGCCGGGACCAGTTTGGCTCAGTGGATA